TTATTATGGCACCCACAAGGCCTGGCCTCACTCGATAAACCAAAAGTAGTGCTTCATACATCGCCCGGACAGATCCAACGAAAACTGAGGCCCCGACTAAACTGCGAGCCAGTCCTGATCCCATTGCTACTCTTCTTTCAGAACTCAGTGATAAGGTCAACTCCCTGGAATCCCAACTCGCCGCAATAAGAAAAATAGTAACCACTGTCGAACCACTCAGATATCACCTGGATTCATTAGACTAGCTCAGTAACCCATGGGAAAGCCTAGATCTAACCCAAATGGAAAAGGCATCTGAGGTGCATGAACGAATGCATAGACTGCAAAATGTGATCGTTTTTGACATTTCTGATAGACTCAGTTCGGTGAAAGTCAAAACTACAGTTCTTACGGCCTGCAACATGTCCGAGATTGGATGCAACTGCATTCGTCTGAAAAAGAAAAACCGAAACACTGCTGTCCGGTCGTTTTTAAATTTGCAACTGAGGGATCCGCGAACCGATTGTTGAGTAATCAGCTCGCCATAGCCCGGCGGACCGAATTCAAAGATCTATTGATTAAACTAGATTGCACGCCTTTACAATGTTTTCCTAGTAATCTTTCGTCACAATCACCAGCTCAAATGGCTATTTGGGTTAAGTGTTCGTAATAATGACTTATCTAATGCGGAAACTGAGCACTTTGAAGTGGATCTAGACAGCTCACCTCCTATGATACGAATCTCGATCACCACTGTCCCTGACGATACTGTCACCTAAGCAAACGTCTACCATCCACTACCCTCCCAATCTTGACGCATGTGAACCAACCGAATTGAATTCACCGTTCATAAGTAATAGAGTAACTCCTAAACATTGGAATGAACTGAGCATCAAGGGCCCTGTAGCAGTATCGCAAGCTGAACTCAACGTTCAAAGGACCCCCATGGGCAGTTAATCCAATAATGTAGAAAACCCACAGCCACTCACCGGATCCAACCAAAGCTTTAAGCCTGTGATGAACACGGTAGAAACTAATAAGCTCTACTAACATACATCTCGCAAACACTATATGAAGCGACATCCTGAGCCGACAAAAACCAGCAACAAATTTCTTTTGGGTACCCCTCACCATAATTCCCTTCCATACCACAAAATCAGGAACAGTAATGATGACAGAATAAACTATGTCACTGGGACTAGTCCACCCATCCCGTCTCATATGTGTACACTCCTCCCCAACACCCCTCAGTATGACCCACTTTTAGTTCAGTAGGGAATGGAGCCGCGGCCATTCCGATTGCTTACATACCCGGCAGAAGTCAACTACTTGTTCACACCGTTCTTGCAATTTCTGCACATGACTCGGCTAGCCAAATGTCACACCAATCACGAAGTAGACTTTCTCCCTCAACCACCTCCATGTCCACAGCAATATTGGCAATCACAAACGACATATTACCCATGTCACCACGCCTGTAAAGACTAAACCCGACTCCACTACTCCCACTCATATCTCCTGCGTCCATAGTACATGACTACAACAACGTGTATAACAACGAGCCTCAGCACGATGACTACATACCCAATAGTACGTTTTCTGTACTTCTACTTAATGCCGAATCCACTACTAACAGACTACTTCCTAGGTGTGCTTACGCATCTCAACGACCCACAAGCAATCCTTACTAAAACGTGCTGCTCCCCCGATACATGAAATTCAACATTAATTATTCCTACTTATCAGCTCTTCTGAAATGATCGCGGCATGCGAAAAGGAGGTGGATGCATGATATACCTATACTGTACTTTTACAGCAGAACTTCATGATCATCCATAGCTAACAAATCAACCCGAATTTCTTCGGTTGTTCGTCTCTGGAACCGGCCAACTGCGTCAACCGAGAGTGTTACCATCATCCCTTCAGCTTTCGAGTTTGCTGCTGAGATGTCACACAGACAGAAGATAATTACTGGTGATTTCAGCCTACCAAAGATTGACTGATCCTCTCAACCATTCTCCTCTACACATACAGCCTTCTTTTCCTCTCTCAGAATTGTTGGGTGGGTACAATGGGTTACTGAACCAGCAAGAACGACCATTATACTCGACCTGATATTCACTTTGGGGTTACAAATGCACAGAGGTATTAGACAAACTCCTTGATTGCGACCACAAGAGGATACGATTCACTTTTCGCGTTAAATTGGCCATCAAACGCCTTTATTCCGCAATATGTATTGGATAAACTGGAATCGGTTCCAACAATTAATCCGATTGGACTCATTCTTCCTCTCTAACAATCTTTTCACTGCCGTGGACTATTTCTACCATCGGGTCCAGCAGGCCATTGCTGTCCTTACCTCCCATGACGAGGCGATCACGTCTCCATAAAGACGCAATCGTGCGTTCAGTCAGCCGGAGACACAGAAGACTACTTGTTGGATACAGAAAGACGGGAAATTTCACCTTGCCTTTCCATTTGCACAACATCATTGATAGGATCAAGCAAATACATTTGACGAGGAGGATACACGAAGAACAAATAGCTATACGAACGACAGGTAACACTAAAGAACTTGTTGAAATTCTGTCGCAGGACTAATTACCACTCTTCTTTCATCGATGCACTGGTTAACGCAGACGGACAGTCCCTTCGTAATTCAACTGAAGTCTGCGAAGCGTTTAGCTTATTTTTCGTTACTTCCATGAGCCTAGAAACTACCCCGTTAAATGCAAGCACTAAGGTGCAAACAACCCACACCCTGTGTAATATTGTATTTTCTATCATTGCTATCCAACATTTAATGAATTCTACTAAACCGTCTTCTCATCTGCATTCCGATGGTATCCCATCTGCCATCATAAAACTGGAAGGGCCTGATATGCCGTTACTATTGCTAAACATGTTTACCCTTTCTTTGGAATCAAGCTAATTTCTAGACGAGTGGAAAACATCGCTCATCATCCCCCGTCACAGGGATGGTTCCATACAAGAAATTCACAATTACCGGCCAATCCATTACACCCATGTAATAGCCAGAATATTAGAGAAACTGGTTAAGAATGGTGTGATGAAATTCATCAATTCACTGGAGCTAATAGACAGGTCACCGCATGGTTTCTTGGGCTAACGATCATGAACAACCTGCTAATTACATTATCTAAACCACGTTTCGGATTCTATTGACTCAGGATACGCAATCATACTTCCATTCCTAGACATGGATAAGGCATTCGATCGAGTGCCCCATAAACGTCTGCTGAAGAAGATTGCTTCCTTGGAATTCAAGACCCACTCCTAGGCTTTCCATTGACATACCTGAGCGGCCGTTCTCAGGTAGTTACCATAGCTGACCACCACTCTTCATCACGTCCAATCACTAGTGGTGTTCTTGCTCTACCTCAATAACATTAGTGCGGTCATGGCATGTCTTTCCTATTTGCAGATGATATAAAGATATTCTACAAATTCCGACAGGCTGAACTTCAAGATACCCTACTGCTCATACAGGAAGACCTTCACACCCTTGGTAATGATGTGACACCTGGATGATGTAGTTCTCGGCGAAAAATCTAGCATAAAGTATTGCGGCTGTTCGATACTCGAGGGATCAATTACACTCAACGACGAATACCATTGTGTGCAGCAGTCCATCCGCGACCTCGGAACCAGGTATTCATGCACTTTCAACTTTTCCGAACAAGTGGAATACCAGCTGGCTAAGGCCAGCAAATCAATGGTTAATATACTGCATAAGACTTACACAATCCCAGCCAGAGTTAAAATTTTCAAAACCCTCACTCGTCTCATTTTGATGTATTGCAGTCTCATTTGTTTCAGTATGAGGAAATCTGACATAGTATATCTGGAAAGTATGCAGAGCTCATTTACCAAACGTCTGCTAGGCATAACATCCACTAAGAACTATCGGGTGCACTGCCAACAATTTCAGCTCGATCCGCTTTAGCTACGAAGCTTGCGGCCTAACCTGATGCTTCTGTACAACCTGATTCATCAAAATGCCCACTTCTATTTGCCCTCCCTAGAACTACAGCATAGTTCGACAAGGGAGCTACGCAATAAGGAGTTTACCCTGAGTGTACCCAGGTGCAGGGTAAATCTGCGGTCTAACTTTTTCCTTATCAGATATGCTGTCCTGTGGAATAAGCTCCCAGTCACAACCAGATCGTGTGAGAGCGCAATGGCCTTTCGCGTCAAGCTCGCTAAGTACCTACGCTTGAACACGATTATGACCCTGTTCTCTTAGGAGAGGTCACTTGATGGTTTGTACCAAGAAGGACCAGACAACATCTGATGAGTGAAACAAAAAATTTTCATACTGTGTGACACACCCATAGTGCTGCTACCATTCACTATTCCAACTGGTGCATATTGTGTTGAGGCACAGCTGTGAATAATACAAACACTTCAAACAGCAAAAGTAATGAAAATCACCATGAAAATTTCTATTCACGCATGAGCATGATATATTCTGTCAAATATGATCTATGCCAAATATGGCCATAGTTTCTTACTCGATTGGGAACACGCGTATTATTATTATTATTATTAGAATTAGAATTATCGGCCAGCATTTTAGATAGGCATCGCTTTCTTTTTGCCATTTGTTCTTTAAAAATGCAGGAAGTAATCCGTTATACCCGCTAACAAGCATATCCACTCCGTTTTGTCTAGCTTGCTAACATCTTGTGATCGGGGTGAAATCGCTCAGACGCACCCGTTAGACATTGAGCAATGCTTTACCTTTGCTTCGCTGCGGCACTTCTGACGCCTCAATCGCGTTTAGGCCTCTGGGATCATGTCTGACACTCATTGACGTTCCCCAGTTCACATGCAAAGCATGCAGCATCGTACAGGGTATTATTAGTTGACTTCACTGTTTACTTGGCTTTCACCCCAGAGTGAATCGTGTCTCTAACATTTACCACCGTCGTGTGAGCCAGGAGTTTCATGCTTGAAATTAACGGTGTAATATCAAAAGAAACAGATTATGTAAGCTCCAACTTATAGCACTTGGAAGATGGTCTTCCATGTATTCGAAGAAAAATAAATGCAGTTTTGACTATCGGGCCATCTTGCACATGTGCACTTCACGATTCCCTTTTTCTCCATTTAAGTGTAGATAGCCGCTCTAACAAACTATCAGGAACAAATAGAGAATAAACAAGACACATCGTTATGTTATTCACAATGTACTGCAGCTGTGTTAGTGCGATGCAAATATTCAAACTTAGATGCGGTGATTGTAGCCTGCGTTATGGTTAACCAAATGTGATAGGACACGGTCTGTCCTGGTATGCGTCGCATATTGCTACCGTGCAGAGGGCAGTCTCGTCTCCAATAAAACAATCGTTTCCCATGTATAAATCTTCAATTTACCCATAGCACTGTTCATAAGAGTGGCGTTGCTTCTTGTTGATGCCCTCTTGCGCTAACACATCCACTTGGATCGTCATAGTGATCTATCAAGCGGCATTTCATGTGACCACTCGCTGATACTTGGAGTCTCCAGGTATCGTTCATCGCTAATCAATATAGCATGCCCTACTTGACTTGAGTTGTCTAATCACCGGATGGTCTTTAAATGACTGATCAGATGTTTTTGCTTTTCGGTTAGATTTGTGCACGTTTTTAACATGTCCGTTGTGAATATCCATCATAACTGGCTTGCTTCTGACCTAGTGTTGCTCTTTTTTGCAATAATCACTCATCATTCGACACATTGACCAGTGTGGAAATCCCCAGACTTAATACAAAGCAATTAGTTCACGAAAACCAAATAAATAACAAAGGTAAACCAAAACACAGGCACCATATTGCTTTGTTTGTGTTGCAGCAGTTACTTCGATGATTAAAACAAGTTGTGTCGTGGAGTCAGATGAATTGGTTGTTTGGGAATTATCGCACAATTTCACTCAACTACACTCCTCTATTTGACAATCTGGGTATCTCTTCGTTTCAGTTTATCACCAGCCTGGCGACTTTTCGCCATCCTATCATTTTTGCTGTCCTAACCCCTGTTACAAATTTCCAGTCGGCCGTTTCTGATACAGGGGTATTTTGGGGCCGTGTACCGTTTGTCGGTAAATGTATACATTTATTTATTTCTTGAGGTAGGTGTAAGCAAACATCTTTTTTTCGATAATTCCCCACCAGGCTTCTACAGTTATACACAAATAAATACAAAATGAGTAGACGGATATTACTAGTCATTAGTCCAGGAGTGAGTTGTTTACTACTGACAGTGGCTGTCCGTTAGGTTACGACAATTGACCTCGTGGGTCAGAGGTCGTCAGGCGTTTGGGCCAGTGTACTCCCAACCCTTAGTTAGCGTCTTCGGAATACACAGCTCCTGGTCATACAGTCGAATCGCAATTGCCTCAGCAGCTTCTAGTAATCTTTTACGCACGTAGTTCAATCCGTTTGCTGGGGTCTGATAGATAACTTTGGAAAAGTCAGCTGATTTAGTGGCATGCCCTGTGTCAGTAAGGTGCGCAGCTATTGAGAAGCTGACTGGTTTTCTGCCTCCAGTTCTAAGCCAGACCTTGTGATGTTCCTTCACTGACTCGGATTGACGCGTTGTCGTACGACCAATGTATTCTGCTCCACAGGAGCAGGAAAAAGACTAAAAAGTCATTGAATTGGTGTGGACAGGCCTTATATCCTTTGAGTTAAGTTTCACCATCGGAATGCTAGTGAACTGGATTTGCATTCTTGCTGCGGGGTGAGTACATCTGAGTGCACGCGAAAGACGACGAGATGGAAGTTCCGTCGTAACTTCACTCTTGTGTGGCAGATGTAGGAAGATCGGCTTACGTTCTACTGTAAATCCTACGAGCTTTCTGCGCTTCTGTTGCATGTTGGCTCTAATGAAAATTTCAGGTTAGCCATTCTACATCAGCACCGAGCAAATACACTCCAATTCCTCGGGAAACATGTCTGCCGACAAATTTTTCCGGCTCATCTCACTAGGGTATGTATAACATTCCTTTTATAATTTAAAGACACAAAGCTGTAGAAATTTGTATACTGTTCAGTTCACGTGCATTTTCTATACGCACGACGTTGCAGTGCACCTCCATCAAGTCTTCTCAGAGCGACGTCTAGGAAATGAAGGAGGTTGTTTTCCTCCACTTCGTAGGTAAATTTTATTGCTGGGTGGCACTGATTGAAGGTGTTTATTAGCTCATCTATACTACGCGAAGCTTGAAGTAAAACAAAGATGTCATCCACATACCCGTAATATAGACTGAGGTCTGCGATTGTTGTTTTTAACTGGCCCTGTTTTTATTTGTGTATAACTGTAGATGCCTGATGAGGAAGTATCGAGAACATATGTTCGCTTACACTTACTTCGTATCGTTCTAGTAGTCATGAGCGTTACATGTTTGGTACCGTCTATCACTGCCGGTTATCTTCGCAGACTGATCACTTCGCCCGGCACTTCTGACATATTATCCCACACCTTGCTTCAGTGCAGGATCTGGTTTAAAGCGATTCAGTATGATATACATGCGTCTTTGGCACTTATACCGAGTTCACTGAGATTGAGGTTGCTTAGCATTCCGCATTGATGTTCCTTAGATCATAATTCTCCCTGCATTTAGAAGCTAACCGGGTGTAAACGTTTCACAATGAATTATCCCAACTAGTCTTAGGCTGCGATATTCACTGCACTTACCTCTTCGGCTTCAGTAATCGTTTTGCCTCCGTTGTCCCTTTCCATACGGTTCAAGGTGTCGATGACCGTAGTCAAACGGGCCAATACCAGAACGTAATCATCGAATTTGATGCGGCCGTTGCTGTCTGCGTACCGACATATGATGGCGTTGTGAACCTTGTTACTCAAGTGAATACCTGTAAGAAAGATAGTTTCGAGGCTGACAAATGTTTCCATAGTGACTTTCAGTCGTATATTGTCTCGATTTCAGTGACAGTGCATTTTTGGCCAGGTGGGAGTTGGATTATCCACAGAATTCATACGTCGATGATTATTGCGGTCACGGAGACCCGCTGTGTTTATGAAACTGACTGTATCTTTATCATTTCAGTCCGTCATGTGTGTCACGCGCAGTCACAGATTCCCAGCGTAGGCTGGTGTTGCTACTCATACAATGCTCTTTGTCAGAATTTCATCGTATTTCTTCTCAACCGCACGTGCGTGTGACCCCGTTCGGTCTCCATTCCCATAGAACTGAAGCTTAGTTTTACCTATGTCGTGCTACACTTCCCATTACTAGTATTCTACGACTAGTCTTTAGATATATACATCGTGCTGCTTACTCTTTGATTGCTGTAGTTAGACACAACTGGGTTTTCGTTGCATTCACTTGGCACTCACTCTTACGATAGTTAAAATTGTGGGCAGAAACGATGTTCACTTGGGCACTCGCTGCCTTCTGATTGAGTAGTTGCCCAGCATTTCAAATTTTAAGCCCCGTTGATTACGACTCTGCTCCGGTTTGCACCGGGAGAATTGTAGTGTTTCCTACGAACCTGCGTCTGGTATGCTAGCGTTTACTGTTTCTCCACGAAGGAGAAAATGGATCGCCAATGCAAATGGAGTCCAGTACCATCTATTAATTTATGTCCATTCGGCTGAACGAGGTTTCAGACCTTGCTTATTCTGTTACTATGACCAGAACTTGGGAGTGAAATGAACCCAGTTATTCATACTGGTTCATCCATCGATTATAGTTGATACCGAGGAACCAGGAATGGACAGTCAAACTGTCTCGTAAAAGTATATACGCGGAGAAGCTGATAGTTTGATACCAGGAGTTTCCTGCGGTAGCGGCACTGGCCTGTGGGTGGCATTATGTCAGACAGAATTACGGTACTGGTTTAATTCGTTTCGAAGCCTCTAGGAATGCGGTGCACACCGAGTCAGTACTTTCATTCCCTTTTATCACTTTATCGACCTTCACATATGCTACTGCAGCGATTAACTGGTTATGCATATTTTATAGGCTCAAACGTCAGCACAAGTTGAGGTCTTAAGGTATTTGCAGACAGTATTGGCTTTCTGAGCCAAAACTACTTCAACTATCGTCCTTTTCAGGGTACACCTATTCGTTTCATGGCCCAAAAACCAATGTTGAAGCGCCCACCCTGTTTATTCTGCTCTTGTGGCTGGCGAATGGCTACGAGGTTTACTGAGTTGCCACTAATTTGAATCTCCGAGTTCCACAAGCCCTCTCCGACTACCGTTCATAGCCATTCTTCGATTGTCCGTTTGCACCGATGCATAGCGAAATCGCCTGGTCGCTTAGACCCGAAGTACTCTTATTCTTTATCGTTTATATCCCCTGATGAAATTGCTTTGGCAACAGGTAGTATTACCGGATGACAATCGGGCTGCGATATTCGTAACCGAACGTACCAGATACCTTGCACACTCAAGTGCACATTTAAAAAATGACTGATCGGTTTATCTGGTGATACCTTCCATGCAACCGGCGTACAGACTAACTGATGCAAGTGAAACACCTAGACTGATTGTTCTACATTCCTAGGCTAGTGGCCAAGGGGATAAGGCGTCAGCCATGTAACTCAAAGTGCACTGGTTCGAACGTGCGTATGGGTAGGCAATCTCACAGCGCCCCTAGCTAGGGCGCGGATGTTCCTCTTCTTTGCCAAGCTGATGCATGTCACTTTCGAAGTGCTTTAGTAAATCCTGTTCGTCCCTCGAGTTCTCAACAAGGCCCTTAGCGCTATCAACTTGCTTATAACGGGCGCAAACGCCCCTACATGCCACTGTTCATTGAGTAGCCAACCCCGAATCATCCAGCAGCATCTCACTCTGTGTGTTCATTTATTCTAAATCGGCTAATTTGGGATTGGTCACCCAACGAACAGTACGCATCGTTAGGGGCCTTCGCGCCCGTTGGATACAGTTTGATAGCGTTAAGGACCATGTTGAGAGCTCTAGGGACGGACGTGATTCACTAAAGGAGGACTTTGAAAGCGCCATGGATCAAATTGGCTGAAAAACGAGTAGTCGCGAGCTAGCTAGGGATACTGCGAGCTTGCCTGCCCATACGCACGTTCGAACCAGTGCGCTTTGAATTACAAGGCGGCTGCCTGCTCCTTTTGGCCACCGGCCGAGGGAGATAGAACAATTGGTCGAGGTGTTTCAGTTTCACGGGTTAGTCTGTTTTCCACTAGACCTCACTGACAAGTACCGGCTGTATTAGCACTGCAATTATTACAGAAACTAGCCAGGCGCAGTATTGTTTACCACTCTATTCCATTCGACTGTCATCTCAGACGAAAAACGGTTTTAACCTCACGTTATATGTTTTCGCCTTATGAAGACTTTCATGCAATGCAAAAATCAAGGTTGAAAACGTTAAAACTCACCAAGAGCCCTCATAATATCTCTGAATTCGGCGGAGTCGAGACTGCCGCTTTTGTCTTGATCATATTTGACGAAGACGTCCTGAATAAAGGGTAATTAATTCCGACCAATCAATTGTTTGAAAGCGTTTGTACTCAAAAATTTAGACCACTAGTCTCGGTATCCATTCCACTTGAATAGTTAATTGATACAAGCTCTGTTTTCGAAACATTTGCATAATTGCCCCACCATGTTTAGTCATACCGGAATTGAAAACCTTTGTACTAATCGATGTCACACACATCCTATTTGGCGAATTTTCACGTTTTACATTGCGTCAGAAAATGTGCGCTGTTTACTCGGTGTCTGTGTACTACACAAGGGACAATTTTATACTACCAGGGCATCAAGCCGATTGATAACTTCACTTGGGGTGGGGCGCGTGTCACACTTAAGCAACTGACGCAGTCGCTTTGATTCTTCGGCGTTGTGCTCGCATCAGTTTCATTTGGGCACTATGCCAGGTGTCATCCTCGGATGCGTGTATACTACCAGCACACATAAGAGAACTCTGTACTAACTGCTCGGTTAACCTACTTATGGTGATCTAAACTATTCCCTTACTTATGTCGGTATTCATTAGCTTGAGATAGGATGGTAACAACCGAACCTACTTTCTTGAGCGCCAAAAGCCGCAGCCCACACCTTCCTTAAGGGACCAAAGCGAACCTTCACGTTGCGGTCTGAAGTCCGTTGACAACGCGAACAGGCTACACCGAACCGGACTGTGCATGCTCTGGGCGCTCAAACGCAGCTTCTGCAACTGGTTTGAAGAGATGACCACTCGCCTCTTCTCTCCTAAGACCGATACTGGGCTACGGCTTGCCCGTCTATTGCCCGACCATTCGAGGCGAAGCATAAAAGATTGAACGGATCCAACACGTGGCTACCAGGCTATTCGCCAGTTTGCGAGGCTTACCGCACGAGGGCAGATGCGAGAGGCTGGGACTAGCGCACCCTGGCTTATCGTCTGTTCCGAGTCGACTTCCTATTGACCTA